TATTTAATTAAATTCAAACTTGTTGTTGAATCAAATATTCATTTTGGATTTGGTGAATGTAGCTCAAGACATGTATAAGAGAGATTTATGGACATGACTAATTCTCAATGCACGGTATGGTCTGGTCCCAACTCATAAGAGCCATATCTTATATACAAGAAATGTCTCTTAAAGAAAAAGTTATCAAATTCAAATTTAATCTGGTAAGCGCGGTTAAATTTTTATTTATTGTGGATTGCAAAAAAAAGTATCACAAATTTATTGCAAATGATCGCAGATATCAAAAATGTTACAAGTATTTGGTAGTGATTTCATTCTGAAAAACTTCCATATCATCATCCTCTACATCATGAATATACAATCCAAAATCTACACTGTCTGCCATCACCTTTGCTGCTTCATCTAGTGTAATATTTCGATCATCGGCTATTAACCTGATAGCAGTTTCAGGTACCAGAACTTCGGTAAGATAATCCAAAGGTTTTTGAGGAAATGTCATATCTGATGATAATTTCTTTAAATCAATGAAAAGAGAAATGAGAGTCTTAAAGATAACACTTGCACCTCTAGAACCGTAGTAGCCAGGCTAAATTTTAATAAACATTTTAAAATATTTAAAGAAAATATATATATAACAATTACAAAATTGATACTCACTAAAAATGTCTGAAATCTTCCCATAACTACAATCGGATTTCTTGCTCTATTATTTCCTACCTAATTATAAACTTTCATTGCTAAATCTCTGTAAGTGCTTTTCGTTTTTTTATTTACAATATCTAACAATTGCAGAAACAAATTATTGATACGATTCGGTAGCTGATCAAAGTCAATATCTTTTGGATAATTTTTACGAAGACCATCTGGTACGATGACTGATTCCGAATTGTAAAAACGACAAATTTCATATTGATCTACGACGTTTGACGAATATTGCAATTTTTGTAACTGGGTTGGAAGTTCATCAGAATGAATCTGATCACAAAAAAACAGATTTCCCTATTCGTGTAGTCTAAATGGAAATTTTAAATAAATAGTTGCAATACTTAAAACTTAATTATTTATATTACCTTCTAAATCACAGTTCAGATGAATCTTCTGAATCAATTTGAATTAAATGTCTGCTGAATGTTTCTAATATATAACAAGAGTTTATTACAATAATGATTTTTATTACAATTTATATAAAATTTAAGAAAAAAGCTAAGTTACAAGAAAGCGCGCTTTAATCTATATATAATATGTGAATCTTTCCTTTTTTAATTATTACCATTATCATTATCATTATCATCTCCCTCTTCATCATCATTTCCTTCATTAAACCATTTGATAAGTAATTCAACCTTACTTCCTTTATCTATAAGCGTATAAATAATATTGATCGCATAAGTTATCAGTTAGAGTCAGTTACAAAAAAATGGTGACATACCATGAGCGGTGAAAAAAGATGTTGGCATAGGAAGTAATAAGATTTTTTTTCCAATGGTTTCATGAAGTTCATTGAATCGTTGATAACTAATTCGATAATAGTCAAGGTACGACCTATTTTCATCGTTTGTTTCAAAAAAGGTAGTGTGCTAAGAGCAAAAACTTTGTTCTTTCAAGAACTACAACATCAACTGAACATTTTTGATTTTTTGCAACCGTAGAATCTCTTTTGATTAACCAGTCTTCTTGAAACTTTTTAATAAAATTTTCTTTATCCTGCTGACTTAAATATTTCTCTTTTAGGTCATTCCAATCTACTTTTTCTTTGGTTGTGTTCTTAATCGAGTTACGGATTTGATCGCAAATAAGCAGATCAGAATCTTTTAACCCTTGCTTCCAGTCTACTGTATTTTTTTTCTTTCTTTTTTTTTTTTTGCTTAGATAGTAACCAGAACTTCCTAGTTCATCGATCTTTAAATTTGTTATATTTTAATTAATAATTTTCTCAAAATAACAGTAATAGAGTAACTTATCTCTAGATTTATATATAAACTAATAGTTCACAATAATAATCTCTACCAGAAGCTTTCTTTTAGTTGAATCGTTCCATAAACTTTCAATTATTTCTACGACTTTTTTCGGCTGTAATATTTAAAGTGCCTATTATTTTTTGCTATTGCATATAAACAAAAAAATAAAAAAAATAAAATACCTCTTTCTGCTCTCGATCAAGTTCGTATTGTTCATATCATTATACAAGTGCTTCGAGACTATTCACTCGCGTGATTAGTTGATTTTTGTCTAAATTATCTTTTCTTAAATTGTATCTTTTATTATTCATTTTGGTAAGAAGATATGAAATAAAATTTTTGGCAAAAAAATCGCGTTTTTATGGGTGCTATGAAAATAGTACTCCTGTAGTTGCTATAACCGATTTGTTTATTTACGCCAAAATTTGGGGCATTTTTATAGATGCGATTAATAATTGATCTATTTATAGCATTTTTGATGCTAATGATCTTTTATGGGTGCTATAAAATAGTACTCCCATAGTTGCTATGACCAATTTGTTTATTTACGCCAAAATTTGGAGAATTTTTATAGATACGATTAGTAATTGATCTATTTAATATAAACTTATGAAAATTTAGTAATTACGAAATAGTCATTTTTTGACTTTAATTAGTAATTTAGTAATCAAAGAAAACAAGTTTATAGACTTAATAAGAGTTAAAACATAAAACATAATAATATTGTGTTCTAAATAATCTAAATTTTTGCAAATATAAAGTTTTTACAAAAAAAATTTTTTTTGCCCTATTATCACTTTTTGCTGGAGAGTAAATTTTTTGCCTTTAACATAATTACAAATAGCTACTTTGAAGATGCTATCAATGAATTAGCATCTTCGAGAATGCTATCACCGATGATTATGAATAGCATCTTCGAGAATGCTATCACTGATGGTTATGAATTAGCAGCTTCAAGAATCTATTACCGATGATTACGAATTAGCATCTTCAAGAATGCTATCACTGATGAAATGAATTAGCATCTTAGAGAATGCTATCACCAATGAAAACAAATAGAATCTTCGATAATACTATCACCAATGATTACGAATTAGCATCTGTGAGAAAGCTATCACCGATGATTACGAATTAGCATCTGAGAGAATACTATCACCGATGATTACGAATTAGTATCTTCAAGAATCCTATCACTGCTGATTACGAATTAGCATCTTCATGAATGCTATCACCGATGAAACAAATTAGCATCTTCCCACTGATTACGAATAGCATCTTCGAGAATCCTATCACTGATGAAAATGAATCTTCGAGAATGCTATCACCAATGATTACAAATAGCATCTTCGAGAATGCTATCACTGATGATTACGAATTAGCATCTTTGAAATGCTATCACCGATGAAACAAATTAGCATCATTGAGAATACTATCACCAATTATTACGAATTAGCATCTTCAATAATGCTATTACCTGATTACGAATTAGCATCTTCGATAATGCTATCACCGATGATTACGATTTAGCATCTTCGAAAATGCTATCACCGATGAAAATGAATAGAATCTTCGAGAATGCTATCACTGATGAAACCTAATAGAATCTTCGAGAATGCTATCACTAATGAAACCTAATAGCATTTCGAGAATGCTATAACTGATTAAAACTAATTAGCATCATCAAGAATACTATCACCAATAAAAACAAATAGATTCTTCGAGAATACTATCACCGATAAACAGATTAGCATCTTCAAGAATGCCATCACCAATGATTACGAATAGCATCTTCAAGAAAACTAATAGCTTCTTTAAGAATGCTACACCGATGAAAACGAATAGAATCTTTGAGAAAGCTATTACCAATTAAAACAAATAATATCTTTGAGAAAGCTATACCGATTAAAACGAATAGCATCTTTGAGAAAGCTATACTGATTAAAACGAATAGTATCATCGAAAATGCTATCACTGATGATTACGAATTAGCATCTTTGAGAATGCTATCACCGATTAAACGAATTGGCATCTTTAAGAATTCTATCGCTGATGAAACGAATTGGCATAATAAATCATTTAATTCATTACCTGGTCTATGACTAACATAATTTGACTCGGCACTAAAAATTTGAAACTAATTTTTAACAAATACAAATTTAACTTTATGTTAATATTAGTTTAATAAATTAAAAAAGCCTATTTTACAAAAATATCAATACAAATGTTTGAACTATTCACTATCATAAATTCTATTCGCAAGAAAACCAATCCAAGTTGGATCAATAACCTGAATTAGGATATTTTTTTTAAAGAATCTAAGTACTAACCTCTTTTTTTTTTTTATGATAGCGGTAAGTAAAGTCAAAAAGTTATCTTTATTAATCTCCTGAAAATAATTTAAAGTAATGTTTAAATCTCGTATTTCTACAAGAAAATTTTCTAAACTAATATTTTCATTTTCTATAACAATCACAGTAAATTTAAAAATTTTTCTCAATTTTGATATTTCCGAGAATATTGATTCTGGAATCGCTAGTCTGATCATACTATTGATTGCTCTAATCTTTAGATTTTCAGTCACAAGAAAACCTATCTAATTCGAATAAATTGAAACTATTTAATATGGCATCG